GGCCTGCGGCGGCAGCAGCAGCAGCAGCAGCAGCAGCAGCACGACGCGACCCGCCCTTCCGCTGCAGTTCCCTTTGCAACTAGGCCTTAAGCAGCAGCGCAGCAGCAGCTGGCTGTGAACTCGGGCCTCTGCGGGCCGCTGCAGCGGCGGGGCAGAGGGTGGGGCTCGAGGCCCCTGCAGTTTGCTGCCAGCAGGTGCAGCAGCGCAGCAGCAGCAGCCCAGCAGCACCGGCGGGGCCCCCGCTGCAGCACCAGCAGCAAATTCGCGTCCAGCTAGCAGCTGTTCACAGCCACTGCTGCTGGGGTATGGGGGCCCCCCTCTTCCCCCAATCAGCGCCGAGGGGCCCCCACTTCTCCTTAGGGCCCTTGAGCCACACCAGCTGAATGGGGGCCCCCCCTCCCGCCATGCTGCCCCCCGAGAGGGGCCCCCGGGGCCCCCCGGGCCTCCCCGAGCGCACATCTTCGCAGCCAACTGCAGCAAAGCTTTTAGCTGCTTCCCAGGCAGCCACTGAAGAGGACCCCAGGGCCCCCAACGCGGCGGACTCCTCGGGGGCCCTCCTCAGGGGCCCCGGGGCCCGGGGGCCCCCAGCGCGGGGGGGCCCCCCCGAGCCTCCGGAGCTTTTGAGGGGCCCCGAAGGGTCTTCAGAGGGCCCGGGGCCCCCGGGGGCCCCCGGGGCCCCAGGGGCCCTTGGGGTCCCGGGAACCCCGGGGGCCTTCGGGGCCCCAGGGGCCCCGGAGGCCCTGGGGCCCCCCGGGTCTCAAGGGGCCCCGGGGGCCCCCAGCCGCCTGGGGGCCCCCGGGGCCCTCGGGGGCCTCCTGCGGGGAGAGCCCCGAGGGTACCCTGGGGGCCGCATGCAAGAGTCCTGCTTCTCTGCTGATGCTTCTTGGATTCGACCTCCTTCAGATACTGTTGCTGCTGCTGCTGCTGCACTGGATGAGGATGCTGTTGCTGAGCCCGCAGCAGCAGCAGCGCCAGCAGCAGCAGCAGCAGCGACGGCGAAGCGGGCGCTGGCAGCCACTGCGGCGGCAGCAGCAGCAGCAGGGGACGCTGCACAGGCAGCAGCAGCAGCAGCAGAAGCAGACTCAGCAGCAGCACGAGATGTTGCAGCAGCAATTGCAGATCTCGAAGCAGCAGCAGATGGAGGCCCTGCTGCTTTCGAACATGTTTTCATTTTCACAAATCCCACAAGTGGCGGCAACAAGGCCTCAGCATTTACTCGAGTGAGGACTTTTTAATTTCTTTTTTTATTTCTTTTTTAAGTTTCTTTTTAATTAATTTCCTTTTAATTTAATTTCTTTTTATTCCCTAAACCATTCTTTCGGGGTTTCCTTTTCTGCTTTTTTCTCTTTTTGTCCCTTTCCTTTTCTCCTTTGGTTTTTGCGTTTCTTTTGGTCTGCTGCTGCTG